ATATATATATATATATGTATATATATATATGTATATATACAACATATATATACAACATATATAATAATATATATAATAATATATAACATATATATACATATATATATATAATAATAATATATATGTTGTATATATATATACAACATATATTATTATATATGTTGTATATATATATACAACATATATATATACAACATATATATATACAACATATATAATAATATATATAATAATATATAATATATATATACATATATATATAATAATAATAATATATATATATATAACATATATATATATATAATAATATATCTATATATAATTATATATATAATAATATATATATATATGTATGTATATATATAACATATATATAACAATATATATATAATAATATATAATAATAATATATATATATATATATATATATATATATATATATATATATATATATATATATATATATATATATATATATATATATATATATATATTACGGTGAGGCCTTTATGTTCTCGAATTAAGTCTGACTTTTTTTTGTGGGTGAGGTTCATAATAAATAGTAAAAACCTGAAATTTTAAGAAAAATGGAAAAATGAAATTTTAATTGAAAAAATTTCAATTAAAATTTCATGATTCCCATCAGATTTTATCAGAAATTTCAAGATTCCCGATCAGGAATGGAGTATATTATTATTAAATGTACCTTATAATATTATTACAGAAAATCTTAAAGGATATTTATTTTAATAAAAAATGCAATTAAACAGTTTTATACAAAATTGTTTTTTATTTTTCATTTGTGTTATTGTTTGTTGTTATTTTACAGATACATTAATAAATTATTTTAAAATTTTTTTAGATTAAAATAAAAATTATTTTTTAGATAGATAAAAATAAAAAATTGACAAATTAGATGGGTAAAAATGGCTAAATCCAAAGACCCAAGATATTTTATACTTGAAACCATCCCTATTGAATCTGATAAAAATATACAGGGATCTCTTTAAAGAACTTTTATGGTAAATTTCTTGACCAGCTGCTTAAAAATATACAGGGATAAACATCATTGGTAGATCCGTCCCAGAAATGGTAACAGTATTCCGTACAAGGACGAATTAGAGATTTATAGAAATAAAGAATAGAATCCTTAGTAAGAAAGTGGCGAGCACGATAAAAGTTGCAACCTTAGTAGGTGCAAATTTTGCAATTGATCCATCCTGTCTATTATACCTCCTTCATATAAATTTACTTGCTCCAAAATATTTGAAATGACAGAAATAACTGAGATATTTAGTGTAAATAAACCCCAGTTTTTATTGGTACTTCTATTGCTAATTTTAATTTTCCGGTAGGATACTGAAATAATTGAAGATTTAAATATTTAAATTTATCCGGAAAAAATTGGATGAAGCATGGCAATTAGTCAACTTGTAAAACAGCAGTTTGAAAAAAGAATTGTTGAAAGGAGAAACATAAAGTTAATATATCTAATGAAATATTTATCAAAACCACTAACAACCACTAAAAATTATTTTTTAGATAGATAAAAATAAAAATATTGACAAATTAGATGGGTAAAAATGGCTAAATCCAAAGACCCAAGATATTTTATACTTGAAACCATCCCTATTGAATCTGAGGGCTATCAACTGCTCGTCAGGTACTTTTATGTTTTCTTGCACACTTTACCACAAAATCTAAGAGAGATGTAATTGAAACAGTTAATTCAATTGTACCATTTTATAATCGGGCAAGAAAACAAACCATTAAATCAAATAAAATGGCAGAAGAAATTATGAAGTTATTTGACGAGTTAAAAAACCTGTTAAAAATTGACCATGCCCATAGAAAAACTGACAAAAACACCCCAAAAATTTTTGGATTTAAAGACAAGCTAACAAAAACAATGAGGTTCTGGTCACGAGGTGTGCTAGATAAATTGGTCGATGCAGAGGATAAACAGTTTCTGATCAGCATGATGACTGATAGGAAAGCACCCATGGGCTCAGTTGATCTTAAACATAGCCTTGTGGAAGAAAAATTTCATGACAGAAAATTTGAAAAAGAAAGAATCCATAAAGAAAAAGAACAGTAATTAAATATCTTGAGATGTTTTAAGAACAATTTAATGAAGATAGACAAAGGCTGTCTTAATCATTATGAACTTGGATGTGTTAATGAAACTAAGTAGCGTTCTCACAACAGAAGCTTGAAAACTGGCATATATATATATATATATATATATATATATATATATTCTATTGTAATAGAAAATTTTTACTTTGGATACTTTTTATTTTTGGTTAATTTTACTTTGGATCCAAAAAGTATAATTCAATCATCAATATTTATATAAAAGGCCTCCCATTCCTTTTTCAGGTAGCTATAAAATAAAACTTGGGTGAGCCAATTCATGTAATATTAGGAACTAATGAACTTTACATATTAGCAAATCAATTTACTTGTTAGTAAGTCATTTAAAGTTGGTTCTATTTTAAAAATATATATTTTTAGGTTGTTCAGGTGTAAAATTACTGGGTGTACCAGCGCTGCCATATAAGTCCACCGAGAATATGGGACCAGTGATTGCCAATGCAACATATGAATTACTAGAACATTGGAACTGCACAGATCGTGTGGCAGGAATGGTGTTTGACACAACAGCATCAAATACTGGGGCTATATTTTGATGCAAAATATATTAAACAGGCCACTTCTGTGGCTTGCTTGCTGACATCGCATAGGAGAGATTATACTAACTCATGTATGGAACAGTTTGGAGATCTACATATTTACAGTTTGGTAATCTACATATTTAGTCAAATGTTTTATTATTATTTATTATTTAATGACTGCTTTGTTTGGTTTTTAGATTTAAGAAAAACCAAGAAGCAATGAGGCAAAATTTTAGCGGTGATTATAGAGAACTTGTTCAACTTACACTGTTGTATCTAAGCAATGAATAAAATGTGTAACTCTCTGGGTTTATTAGACCAGGCACTTTGCACAATGCAAGGTGAATGGTAAAGTTGTTATATTCTATAAAACTTGTACAAACTGTTGAACAAAAAGATCAGCCAGCTTCCTAAAGGAATAATATTTGCTAGGCTACAAAGAATTGTTCAGTTTGTTGTATTTTGTTATATTCCATGGTGGCTCAGTGCACATCTTCAGCAGCTCCTACTAATGATTAAATCTTATTAATTCATTATTAAAGAATTAATAAGATTTCATTCTCATTTTTTTCAGGGAACCGGTTACAGAATGGGAAAAAAACGAAAATTTTCTTCAAAAAATGTGGTTTCTGGTTTATGTGTTGTAAACGATTCTGCTGAACGTGGAGTAAAGCTTTGTAGTGACTTTGTGGGAACTGCTAAGAAAGAAAATAAGTCCCAGAACATTATACAAATTGAAGAAAACAACAGAAATATGTTGCCCAACCAAAGGAAAAGGCACTTAGAACCAATCAGATAGTAATTTAAATTCTGATCAGATTGTTTATTTTTTCAAATTTTTATTTAGTAGAGTTACTTTTTATATTGTTACACATGGAAATATTAATATAACATTTAATTTTTTGTTAATATTTTAACAATACTTTATATTTTAAATTTAATATTAATTTCATTGACTTATTAAGCATTTAAATAACTACACACACAAAAATATTTAGAATGGGTCACAACATATATCAGATTTGTCCACCATTTCACTATTAGACACTATTTCACCAAAAACAAAGATTTTTTTTTTTTTTTTTTTTTTTTTTTTTAACATCTTTACTTCCAACAAGGCTGCAAGCAACCACTATAAGAGTTGGAAGTTACTGGAAGAGAAAAGACTAAATCTGTAGAGCAAGATAACGATTGACTGATGACTTAAAAGATTGCAAATTATATGAATCAGGAAAGCAAGATGAAGGAAGCGAATTCCAAAGAACTGATGTTCGAGGAAAAAAACTAGAAGAATAAGAGTTTTTGAAGCACTTAGGAACAGTCACAGAAAAAGGATGAGACTTAATTGAATGGCGAGTAACAAGAGAATGAATTTTAGTAGATGGCACAAGGGACGCTAGCTCTTTAGAGCAGTGCCCATTATAGTATTTGTAGAAAAGAGAAAGAGAAGCAACATTACGACGATGTGACAAAGGTTGGAGATTGGCTGCCAGAGCAGGTCCAACTATGTTTACAATTCGTTTTTGCACCTTGTCTAAAAGAGAAAGAGCATCATTAGAAGATCCGCCCCAGATGTGGCAACAGTATTCCATACAGGGACGGATTTGAGATTTATAGAGATAGAGAATAGAATTTGGAGTAAGAAAGTGTCGAGCTCGATAAAGAGATGCAACCTTAGCAGATGCTAATTTTGCAATGGATTTGATATACGGTTTAAAAGAAAGATCAGAAGTAAGAGTTAATCCTAGAAGATGAATGGTAGATGACTCATCTAGTACATTACCATTCATAAATATAGGAAGATCTAAATTATTACGATAACGATTGGCCGAATAAAATTGAGTTTTATCTGAATTAAAGTTTTATCTGAATTCTAACTGAAATATATATATATATATATATATATATATATATATATATATATATATATATATATATATATATATATATTTGTATAAAATAAAAAATTTAATTCATTTAAAACCTGTTATAGATTGTCGAAGATGAGATTTTTTTTTTTAATTTTGATTTTAACTACTTTTTTTAATTTCGATTTTAACTTTCGAACTTAACTACACTGAGTACAAGAGAAATCATAAATACCTATGAATAAAATATATATTTTTTTAATTTTAAATAATAAACATTTTTTGAAAGCAAAAACAAACTATTTCTTATATATTTTTAAAACTTTCAACTATTATAACTTGAACTTTTAAATATAATAGTTCAACAAAAATATAACCCATAAAAAAAAAACATTAAAAACATTATTAAAAAACAATGTTTAACTGAATAATTTAAAAAATATATAAATGTTACCAGAAATAGATCCTTCATGGGTATCTTCACTATCTTCTTCATGTTCTTTTTTTGCTACTGGTGGCGGTAAATCAACACTGCCCTCATTGCCATCTGATTCTTTTTTATCTGGTTTAATGCAAAATGTAAATGTGAATTAATGAAAATATAACATGAAAGTATAACATCTAGTTAAAACATGTGACGTTATGCAAAATCAAAATTTATGCCAAAATCCATTCTAACATCAAATCCATTCCAAAATATCAAAATATAATTATCTATTACAAAAATACTAGCTTGAATAAATCAACACCAACAGTGTATTAATATATAATTTTAAACTACAAAACAATATAAAAATCAAAATTAATATTAAAAAATATATAAAAATATATTTTATATTAAATTAATATTTAAACTTTTATTGTAAACAAATGTATATAAAAATTACTAGATTTTTCATCAGTATCTTCTCCATGCTCTTTTTTTGCTACTGCTCCAGGAGGTATGGAATCCACGCTTTCCTTATCACCATCTAATGCCTTTTTAACTGGTTTAATGTAAAAAAAAAAAAAAGAACTTTATATATTATGAAAGTATAACATCCGATTAAACATTTTTAAAATCGACGTTATGCAAAATCAAAATTTATTCCAAAATTCATTCTAATGCATCAAATTATAATTATTCCTTACAAAAATACTAGCTTAAATTAATCAACAAAAACAGTTTATAAATTTATCAATGTTCGAATAAAGTGATTGCGAATTGCAATATTCAAAATTATTGAGTCATTAAATTCTCAATTTATTAATTACACTGTTTTATTGAAATGGTTAATTTATTATATTTTAAAAAATAATGAAAAAACAAAATAATAAATATACTAATGCAAAAATTATAACAGTCAAAACTTACATATTTTTAATTGTTTTTAAATACCAGGTAATTTAAGGGTTATAAATAAAAAAAAAAGTTATAAAAAAATAATCATTACTAAAGCCCAAAAAAGTTTTTTTGTAATTTAAAATAAACAAACAATTTTTATGGTATTTTTATGGAATATTTTATGGAATTTTTATGGTAATTTATGGTAAAGCTATTTGCCCATGTTATAAATCATTAATATCAATTTTTGTTTAGGGAGAAAGTTTAAGGAATTATTTATTTAAAAAATTAAAAGTTCTAAATAAGAAAATAATTCTAAAAATTATTTATCTAAAAATTTAAAAATTATAAAAAAGATGTTTATTAAAAAAAGTCATTAAAGTTTTATTGTTTTATTTAAATAACAATAAAAATTTAAATTTTTTATATATTTTTAGTCTGCTCTGCCTATTTTGTATAGAAGAGTTACAATCGATTAAATTATAAAAAAATATTGGATTTAATAGGATTAAAATTTTTTTTTTTCTTAACATTTTCACTTCCAACAAGGCTGCAAGCAACCACTATTAGAGTAGGAAGTTACTAAAAGAAAAAAGATGAAAATTATAGAGCGAAATAGTAATTGACAGACAACTTAAAGATTTCAAATTATATGAATCAGGAAAGCAAGATAAGGAAGCAAATTCCAAAGAACTGATGTTCGAGAAAAAAAAAGAAGAATAAGAATTTTTGGAGTACTTATAAACAGTCACAGTAAAGGGAGGAGACTTAATTGAATGACGAGTAACATGAGAATTACTTTTAGTAGCTGACAGATTTGAGATTTATAGAGATAAAGAATAGAATCCTTAGTAAGAAAGTGGCTAGCACAATAAAAAGATGCAACCTTAATGCAGATTTAAGTTGATTGTGCAATCAATTTGAGATATGGTTTCCAAGAAAGTTCGGAAGTAAGAGTTCATCCTAGAAGATGAAGGGTAGATAACTCATCAAGTACATTACCATTCATAAATATGGGAAGATCTATTTATTGCAATATCGATTAGCTGAAGAAAATTGAGTTTTATCTGAATTAAAGTTCACCAGCCACTGAGAGCCCATGAACACCATGCTGAAGCATAAGTGAGATTCTTTTCAAGTTCAAATATTCCCCTTCAAGCAATCAGAGAGTGTTGGCTTCTTATCAAGATAAGAATAAACGGTAGTATCATCAGTGAACAATGACACCTTAGGTGTGAAAATTTCTGGGAGACCCTTTATGTAGCTTAAAAAGTATAGGGCCAAGATTAAAATTTTGAGGAACCCCTGAAGTTACATGATATGAAGAAGAGTGCTGTCCATCAAGGACAAGAAGAGAGCTTATGTAAGAAGAGAGCTTATGAAGAAGACCACCATGCCAAATTTTATCAAAAAGCTTTAGAAATGTCAAGAGCTTTAGCCGCTCTACATCTATCTAATGAACAATAAAACCTATCAGTTAATGCAGTTAATAAATCAACACTAGAATGAGAAGATCGAAATCCATATTGATGCTCAGAAAGAAAGTGATTAGATTCAAGATGAGAGATAAAGTATTTGTTAATAAAAGACTCAAAAACCTTGCTGATGATAGCAAGAAGACTAATGGTAAGGTAGTTAGACAAGATTGTTCTCCTGAATTTTTGAAAATAGGGATAACAGAAGAAGTTTTCCAGCAGGCTAGAAAGCAAGACTCTGATAAGCACTTGTTAAATAGCTTTGAAAGTATTGACAACAGCTCCAGAAATCACTTTTGCAAGCTTATAACAGGTATGTTATCTGGACCATAAGAGACCACAAGCTGTAGAAAAATCTGAGCAGGAAATCACTTTAGTAACAGAAGCTGGAGTGATACAAAGATCAGGTAATGAATTGACCTGTTTCTCGGCTAACTCAGGTAGAACACAACTAGTGGAATCAAGAGATAATATTGATGAGAAGTTCTTTGTAAAAAATTAGTTTTGTCTTGAGGTGAGGTGACAAAATCTGAATCATACAAGAGAGGTGGAATAAAAGATTTACCCTTGTTAGAGATGCTGCTAAAGATTCTCCAGATGTCACGAATCTAATTTTTGAGATAAAATACAAGATTTTGTGACCTGAGAATAGTGGGCCTTGACAATAGAAAAAACCTATTTAAAATGGTTTCTAGGGATAGTAAACAAAAGTCTGCTTTATGAAGAAATGTTTTTCTGATAGATATGAGAGCCATGGTTAAGTTAGGATTGGTTGCCATGGTTAGGATTGGAAATTACAACAAATAAGATATAAAAGTATTTTCTATCTTATTTTACAATTTTTTTAATTTAAAATATTTCATCACCGCTAATATCCTTTCCACTTTTGTGGTTAGCGATTGTTTTTTAATAACTTTTTAGTAATTTAACATTTATAAAATAAATTAAAATATTAAAGTTTAAATCATAACCTTTAATAATAATAAAAATAATAGTAAAAATATGGTTTTACAATAAAATTTAATGACATAAATCAATATCAACATAAATATTTTTTATTGAATAACAGCTATTGAGTATATAGATCAAAAAGAATTTACTGTTTTTAAAAATTGACATAAAACAAAATCAAAACTTATGCTGAATTCTATTTCAACATATCAAAATATAACTAACCATGACAAAATCACTATTTAGAATAGATCAATGCAAACAGTTCATCAATATATAACTATAAACGACAAAACAATATAAAAACCAAAGTTATTATAAAATATATTTACACATTTATATATATATATATATATATATATATATATATATATATATATATATATATATATATATATATATATATATATGCATACAAAAGCTACAAGGTGTACACTCAGACTTTTGGTTGGTCACCAGAAGAGCAACAGAAAGTAACCTGTTGCAAAATTTTATAAATTTTTTACAATTATTGGAGTTCACGCATACCTAATCTTTTTTTTTTTATATAGGACTAATTGTAGACTAGAAATAATTGGTGTACATAAAAGTATCATTGAGAACTACTGATAACAGTTTTTTCACTTAAAGCTCTTATTTTATAAAAAGTATAAGGGATTTTTTTTTACATTAAGTTTTAAGAAATACAAAAAAAAAAGCAATTTACAATCACTTTATAACTCTTTGCTTTTAGTATGTTGTACTTGTTAAGATATTATTTGTTACAGGAGCCGTGAAAACTAATGATATTTTGAAAGTATTTTAAAGTAACCTGTTGTAAATAAATTCAATTTTGAATTGCGTTAAAAATCATTTAAACTAATATTTCAAAAGTTATAGACAGAATCTAAACTTAGAATTTGTAAAAGATTATAAATTTTTTTAATTTTTTTTTTAAAACAATCTTATGCTTAACCCTATTTTTTATTTGTTTTTAACAATTTATTTACTTTAATTTTAAATATTTAATATGTAGCATTTTTAATAAAGATTTCAAACAGTTTGTGAATAGATTTTATCAGTTACAATAAGATATTTTGAAACGTAATTTATGTTCATTAATGTATACTGCCAAAAGAACTTTACATGATTTTGAATAAATAAGAAATGAAAAATATTTTATACATTTGTAAAAAGAGATCTCTTAAACAAGTCACTTCTTCCTTTTTAATATAAAAAAAGTTTTTAATTTGCTTTTGCATATTAAAATATATGATATAGAGACTTATGTTTTATGTAATGAAACAGCAACTTATAAGAAAAAAAATTCTTTAATAAAAATTAAAAAACTAATTTTCCCTAATATTTCTTCCTTTGAAACGAAATTTTGCATTCAATATTTAAATATTTTAAATTTCTTCATCGTAGATTTAAATTTTTTTAATCATATTTAATTTTAAATTCATTTAAAGAAAATTAAAAAAAAAAATAATTTGTTTTTTTAAAAAACTCACAGTTGTGGTTGATAAAATATTGTAAAATAAAACAATTGTTTTTTTACTAATATATTTTAAATAACGTCAGATAAAAGATGTTAAAGGAAAATTTAAATATTCCAAAATAAAAAAGTTTTTGCTTAATGTAAAACTGCTAAACACGTACCAAAAAGCCATTTTGTACATAAATATACAAGCTATAAATAAAAACGCGACATTTCTTAATAAGGCTTGTCAAATTTTTTTTTTAAACATAATTACTTTTTACTTTTTCTCTAAATCCATATATGCTTAAATAAAAACTTGTTAAAAAATAAAAATAAAATAGTTTTTTTTGTTTAACAATAAAACTTTTTAACTTTTATGAAAAAATTAAAAGTTTGTTAACCCTTTTAAATACTTGTACAATTTTTATTTATGTTCCAACTAATAATAACAAATGCGAAAAACAAACTTTGGCACAGTGACATTCAAAAGATAGAGTAATTAATATTTAAAATAGGTTGCCTTTCACAAATTTAGTAACATGGTACCGCCTGGCAACCACGAGTGTACACCTCTGCCAGATATAGATCCTTCATAGGTATCTCCTGCATTTTTTTTTTTTTTTCATTTTCTACTGGAAGTGGTGAACCAGCACTCTCATCACTATCTGAGTCTTTCTTAACTGGTTTAATGTAGAAGTGTACCGGATATTTTTGCCAGATATACCGGATAATTTTGCTAGATATGCCGGATATTGAATTTTTCTAAAATTCTATAAGTATTTATTAAAAAAAAAAAGTCTTGCCATTTTACATGATTTAAAAAAGTAAAATCAAGAAAAACACATGCGTTAATAATGTATAAGGAAAAATCGTTTTTACAGACAAATTTTTGTTTTTTAAAGTTACTATTTTCTATACTTCATCAGCACATATCCCATTGCATACAGTTTTTCTTTTGATTTTTAACGTAAGATCTTGAATGCTATTTATTGTAGACTAGAAAGACTTATTCTTCATAAACATTTAAAGAACTTTATAAAAGTTCAATATCCGGCATATCCAGCAAAAAAATCCGGTACACTTCTAGTTTAATGCAAGAAGTTAATGAATTTTATACATTATGAAAACATAACATCTAAATAGGAGATTATTCAAAGTGATGCTATGCAAAATCAAAATTCATTAAGAAATCCATTCGAACATAACAAAAAATAATTTTTCATTACAAAAATACTAGGTTGGATAAATCAATAAAAACGGTTTTTCAATTAATAACTATAAACCACCAAACAATATTAAAAACTAAGTTAATACATAAAATATATAAAAAAGAATATATAAGTTACCAGGTAAAGATTCTTTATCAGTAGCTTCAGTATCTTCTTCGTGCTCCTTTTTTTCTACCCAAGTAGGTGCAGCATCAGCACTGCCCTTCTTATCACCATCTGATTCCTTTTTAACTGTTTTAATGCAAAAAGTAAATGTTTTTTTATATATAATAAAAGCATAATATTTAACTAAAACATTATTAAAATTGACGCGATACAGAATCAAAATTTATGCCGAAATCTTTTCCAATATATCAAAATATAACTACCCATGACAAAATCACTATTTAGAATAGATCAATCCGAACGGTTCATCAATATATAATTATAAAACACAAAAAAATATAAAAACCAAATTTACTATAAAATATATATATATCAGGCCTTGTTTTAAATAACAAATGCTTAACACAGTAGCTTAATGTGAATTTGACGTCATAAAATTCTCTTAATCTTTTTATTCTTTTCTTTTTTCAAATTACTGCAATAAATTAAGATTATTGCAAAACAAGTTCAATACTGTTTAACTCGCTTTTTATTAATACTATTACGAAATGTTTATTTCTTTCATTTTTTTTTTTATATTGAATAATAAATTTGATTTACATTAAAGAAAAAAATTTTCATGCAAAAATTTGTTTTTCTCTACATTTGTATAAATGAATTAAAATATGTTAATTTTTTTTTTATATCATTACTTTTTAAACTATCATTCAAAAAAAATTGCAACTAAAAAAGATTTTTTACTATAAAAAAATTAGCAAATAACAAATAAAAAAATTACGTTAATTTATCTACCCTTATTAATTAAAAGTTTATTATTTTATTAGCGATTTTGTTTTGAAACACCATTTGTTAAAATTATGTCGTATATATAATGATACATATTACATGATATCATCAGGCCTTGTTTTAAAGCGCTACGTCTAGAGCAATTTACGTACGCCTTAAGCGATTTTTACGTACGCGTAGAGCTGTTTTGGTTAAGCTACTTTTTATCATTTTTTAACTTTTAAATTAGCGGTAACATAAAAGAAGTAATTAATTTTTAAAAAAACCACGTTAACGACAAGTAACCACGTAAACGACATGTAAAGATATTTATTACAAAAAAGAATTTACGTTAAAAATAATAGTTGTAACTTTTCATCACAATATATCTTACATTTTTATAGCAATTAAATTTATGCTAAACTTTTTATCCAAATATTTAGCAACATGAAAAATTGTTCGTCAATCCTTAACTACAAATTTTTTCTAATGTTTTTCATAAAAAGTAGTAATTTTTTAAAGTTTTCAGTAAAAAACTTTTAAAAAATCTATATTCCATATTTATTAATACAGAATATAAATGTTTTTTGTAATATAGAGTTTTTAAGAGTTTTTACTGAATTTATATAATAAAAAACATTTGCAAAAAAATTTGTAATTAAGGATTGACATTTTTTTTAATATCTCAAAAAATATCTTAATATTTTTGTTATCACGATAACAAAAATATCAAGACATTTTTTCGAATTATTAAAAAATATGTGCCAATAAATGAACAATCTATTTGTATTTTTCTAAAAATTACTTCATTAATTATTACTCTTTGCTTTTCTTATTATATATAACTTTACCTTTAAGTTATGTGGGGGAAGGGGGCCGGCACAGAAAAAAAAAATTACCTGTTACTGGCAATTTTTGAATGAAGATAATTTGTTAAATTTCTCCTGCGTGCGATTCAATAAGTTTTTTTCATAAATCAAGTTATATTATAAGGTAAAGAAATCACGAGTAGACTATAACATCTGCTGATGACACTAATATTATGTTGAATATATTTTTATAACGGAGGTTTCATTATGCACGCGCACATTACAGATTCCGTTAAATAAATACTAAGGCACGTTTTAGTTTAATGACAGTCTGTATTTTTTACTAATGAATATGTATTTTTCTTTATAAAACAAGACAAACTAGTATATAAAAACCTTGTATATTTCTATTCTCTCTAAATTGTTTAAAGTTCCAATATGGATTGTATTTTGAAGGACAAAAGATTTACTTTAAAAACTTTTAAATCTTAGGACTTTGCTGATGCGATGATCACAGAAAAAGAGAAGACTTACGTTATTAAAATCTAATGTAAGTTATGTGATCTTCATCAAAATAAAATATTATCCAAAAACAATGGTGCCGTAATGGCAGCTGCACTACGGTTTATAAATAACACAAGTCATGTTAAAATATTTTAACATGTTACTATATTTTAATTAAGTTGATATATAAAAAAATGAAAATATAGTTCAATAAATAAATTAAAATTGTTCTTAACAAAGATTACCTCATATCTATTCTTTTTTTATTTTATTAAGTTAAATTGCTTACAAACGAAAAAAAAAAAAGAGTTTTGTAATAATACGTAGAATGAAATACTTTTGAGTTTGTTTATAAGTTAAGAAACTTAATTTTTAATTAACAAATTTTTACGAACGTTTATTATAAACAGATACGATTCAAATTATTAAATATACTTATATTATTTTAGTTGAGTATTTTTTTAAGTTTGCACAATTAAAGTTTTGCAAAGAAGTATTTTTTTTTTGTTTTAAGAATAATTAACAAAAGAGTTTGAATAATTAAGACTTTCATATTTAATTTAATTTTTTTTTTAATTCCCTAAAATTAAAAAAAAAAAAGATTTAATTGTTAAAAATGATTTTTCTCTATAGCTCTGTTTCTTTGTGATTTGTTTAAAATGTAAAACATTTTTACAATAACAAAAAATTTATGAATTAAATTCCTGGCGAACGCGTTCTAAACTATGTATCAAAAATATGCTCAAAGCAGACAAAACTTTTGTATATTTTTATATAACACAAGTTAAAACGCCAAGCAAGATAAAATTAAAAAATATTTAAAAACCTAAATTATTCTTTGCTAGTCAAAACAAAATATGCTGTTTAAATAATTAACATGGTTTTTGTTTATCAATGTTAATATTTTTTGTTTACTCCAGAAATTTTTAAAAATAAAAAAAATCATTATTATTTTTTATTCAATAACGATTTATAAACAATAATTATTCAAAAACAAATTTCAGAAATAATTAAAATATATATATATATAAATTTTTTTTTACTAAATATTTAACTAAAATAATAATAAAATAACAATTGAAAACATTACAAACTTTTCATAATAAATTTACATTTAAAACATAGTTATTTGAGTTAATTGTTAAATTGAACTAGTTAGCGTTTATTTATTTATTGCGGTAGTTAAAACACTTAATGTCTATAAAAAAAAATAAAGATAACATCAAACATAACTGTCATTCAAATATTTTTACAAAATCATCAAAGTGATTTTTGATAAAATTAAATACTTCTTTTATCTTACCACGACGTAGAGTAAGTTAAAAAATAAAAAAGTATCATATGTTTCTACATGGAAATTGCTCTACGCCTAAGTAATTCGTACATAAAATAACGGCAGCTTAACGCTTTAAAACAAGGCCTGATATATATGCATACAAAAGCTACAAGGTAAACCCTCAGATTTTGGTTACTCAGCAGAAGAGTAACAGAAAGTAACCAGATCATAAATGTTAGTAACCAGCCAGAGTTACAAGTTATATAGTTGCATGTTGCTAACTTTTATAAAAATTTTACAATAAGTGGAGTTATAGCATACCTAGTCTTTTTAATTTAAATGACTAAGTATTGATTAGAAATAACGGGTTTGAATAAAAGTATTATTGAGAACTACTAATAAAAACTTTTCACTTAAAGTGTGTTCCTAATTAATAAAAGAAAAAAAAACGTTACCTTGGCGTTTTTTTTCTTCTTTTCTAAATAAAAATGGCATTCAGCACCCTAATCACTATATGATTACTTTTTAAATGGTTTAATGCAATGAGTTAATGATTGTTATATATTATGAAAACATAACATCTGAATAAGAAATATTAAATCTGATGTTATGCAAAAAAACAAAAAGGTTGGAGAAATCAATAAAAACAGTTCTTCAAATAATAATTATAAACCACAAAACAATATTTAAAACAAAATTAATACATAAAATATATAAAAAAGCATATATAAGTTACCAGGTAAAGATTCTTTCTCAGCAGCTTCAGTATCTTCTTCGTGCTCCTTTTTTTCTACCCAAGTAGGTGCAGCATCGGCACTGCCCTCCTCATCACCATCTGATTCCTTTTTTACTGTTTTAATGCAAAAAGTAAATGTTTTTTTATATATAATAAAAGAATTAAATCTAACTTAAACATTATTAAAACAGATGTGCAGCAAAATCGAAAATTAGGCAAAAAATTTCAACTTATTAAAATAAATTCACCATTAAAAAAATCACTATTTTGAAAATATTAATGCCAACAATTTATTAATGTATTTAAAAATATTAAATTAAAAATATAAAAAAATATAAAAGCCAAACTTAATAGTTATTATAAAATATATACATAAATGCATACAAAAGCAACAAGGCATACAGGTACACACAAACTATTGGTTGATCACCAGAAGGCAACTGAAAGTAACCAGTTTGTTAATGCTAGTTACCTGCCAAACATTTTGAGTTGCCTGTTGCTATTTTTTATAAAATTTTCTAGCAAATCTAGTTTTTTTAATTTATCACACTAAGTGTAGACTAAAAAACAATTAGTTTACATAAAAGTATTATTGAGAACTACTAATAACAGTTTTTTCAATTAATTTTAGAGCTCATAATTATTAAAAGACAAAAAAACATTTCCATTGTATTTTTTTTTCTTCTATAAATGGAAATAGAATTGAGTACCATAATCACTATATGATTCCTTTTTAAATGGTTTAATGCAATAATTAAATGATTGTTATACATAATGAAAACATAACATCTAAATAGGAAAATATTAAAACTGATGTTATGCAAAAACAAAATTTATGGTAAAACCCATTTTAACATAACAAAAAATAACTTTTCCTTACAAAACCAATAGGAAGGAAAAATCAATAAAAAAGGATCATCAATAAATAATTATAAACTACTAAACAATATTAAAAACTAAGTTAATACATAAAATTTGTAATAAAGAACATATAATTTACCAGGTAGAGATTCATTATCAGTAGCTTCAGTATCTTCTTTGTGCTCCTTTTTTTCTACCCAAGTAGGTGCATCAGCACTGCCCTCATCATCACCATCTGATTCCTTTTTAACTGTTTTAATGCAAAAAATTAATGTTTCTTATATATAATAATAGCATTATATATAACTTAAACATTATTAAAACGGATGTGAGGCAAAATCAAAAATTATGCAAAAAACTAATTCAACATACCAAAATAAAATCATGAATAACAAAATCACTATTTTGAAAAATCAAATGCGAACGATTTATTAATGTATAAATTAAAATTATAAAACAATATAAAATCTAAAGTTAATAGTTAATATAAAATATATATTAATGCATACAAAAGCAACAAGGCATGGGGGTACACTCAGACTTTTGGTTGATCACCAGAAGGCAACTGAAAGTAACCAGTTTGTCAATGTTAGTTACCTGCCAAACATTTTGAGTTGCCTGTTGCTATTTTTTATAAAATTTTCTAGCAAATCTAGTTTTTTTAATTTATCACATTAAGTGTAGATTAGAAACAATTGGTTTACATAAAAGTATTATTGAGAACTACTAATAACAGTTTTTCAATTAATTCAGCTCATAATTATTAAAAGAAAAAAAAACATTTCCATTGTGTTGTTTTTTTTCTTTTATAAATGGAAATGGTATTCAGCACCCTAATCACTATATGATTTCTTTTTAAATGGTTCAATACAATAATTTAATGATTGTTATACATTATGAAAACATAACATCTGAATAAGAGAATATCAAAACTGATGTTATGCAAAAACAAAATTTATGATAAAACCCATTTGAACATAACAAAAAATAATTTTTCCTTACAAAATCACTAGGTAGGATAAATCAATAAAAAAGGATCATCAATAAATTATTATAAACCAGTAAACAATATTAAAAACTAAGTTAATACATAAAATATATAATAAAGAATATATAATTTACCAGGTAAAGATTCTTTATCAGTAGCTTCAGTATCTTCTTTGTGCTCCTTTTTTTCTACCCAAGTAGGTGCATCAGCACTGCCCTCATCATCACCATCTGATTCCTTTTTAACTGTTTTAATGCAAAAAATTAATGTTTCTTATATATAATAATAGCATTATATATAACTTAAACATTATTAAAACGGATGTGAGGCAAAATCAAAAATTATACAAAAAACTATTTCAACATATCAAAATAAATTCATCAATAACAAAATTACTATTTTGAAAAAAAAACGCAAACGATTTATTAATGTATAAATTAAAATTATAAAACAATATAAAAGCCAAAGTTAATAGTTAATATAAAATATATATAAATGCATACAAAAGCAGCAAGGCACGGAGGTACACTCAGACATTTGGTTGGTCACCAGAAGGCAACTGAAAGTAACTAATTTGTTAATGTTAGTAACCTGCCAAACATTTTGAGTTGCCTGTTGCTATTTTTTATAAAATTTTCTAGCAAATCTAGCTTTTTTAATTTATCACACTAAGTGTAGACTAGAAACAGCTGGTTTACATAAAAGTATTGAGAACTACTAATAACAGTTTTTTCAATTAATTCAGTTCATAATTATTAAAAGAAAAAAAAACATTTCCATTGTGTTGTTTTTTTTCTTCTATAAATAGAAATGGTATTCAGCACCCCAATCACTATATGATTCCTTTTTAAATGGTTTAATGCAACAATTTAATGATTGTTACATATTATGAAAACATAACATCTGAATAAGAGAATATTAAAACTGATGTTATGCAAAAACAAAATTAATGATAAAATCCATTTGAACATAACAAAAAATAATTTTTCCTTACAAAATCACTAGGTAGGATAAATCAATAAAAAAGGATCATCAACAAATAATTATAAACCACCAAGCAATATTAAAAACTGAGTTAATACATAAAATATATAAAAATGAATATATAAGTTACCAGGTAAAGATTCTTTATCAGCAGCTTCAGTATCTTCTTCGTGCTCCTTTTTTTCTACCCAAGTAGGTGCATCAGCACTGCCCTCATCATCACCATCTGATTCCTTTTTAACTGTTTTAATGCAAAAAATTAATGTTTCATATATATAATAATAGCATTATATATAACTTAAACATTATTAAAACGGATGTGAGGCAAAATCAAAAATTATGCAAAAAACTAATTCAACATACCAAAATAAAATCATGAATAACAAAATCACTATTTTGAAAAATCAAATGCGAACGATTTATTAATGTATAAATTAAAATTATAAAACAATATAAAATCTAAAGTTAATAGTTAATATAAAATACATATTAATGCATACAAAAGCAACAAGGCATGGGGGTACACTCAGACTTTTGGTTGATCACCAGAAGGCAACTGAAAGTAACCAGTTTGTCAATGTTAGTTACCTGCCAAACATTTTGAGTTGCCTGTTGTTTTTTTTTATAAAATTTTCTAGCAAATCTAGTTTTTTTAATTTATCACATTAAGTGTAGATTAGAAACAATTGGTTTACATAAAAGTATTATTGAGAACTACTAATAACAGTTTTTCAATTAATTCAGCTCATAATTATTAAAAGAAAAAAAAACATTTCCATTGTGTTGTTTTTTTTCTTTTATAAATGGAAATGGTATTCAGCACCCTAATCACTATATGATTTCTTTTTAAATGGTTCAATACAATAATTTAATGATTGTTATACATTATGAAAACATAACATCTGAATAAGATAATATCAAAACTGATGTTATGCAAAAACAAAATTTATGATAAAACCCATTTGAACATAACAAAAAATAATTTTTCCTTACAAAATCACTAGGTAGGATAAATCAATAAAAAAGGATCATCAATAAATTATTATAAACCAGTAAACAATATTAAAAACTAAGTTAATACATAAAATATATAATAAAGAATATATAATTTACCAGGTAAAGATTCTTTATCAGTAGCTTCAGTATCTTCTTTGTGCTCCTTTTTTTCTACCCAAGTAGGTGCATCAGCACTGCCCTCATCATCACCATCTGATTCCTTTTTAACTGTTTTAATGCAAAAAATTAATGTTTCTTATATATAATAATAGCATTATATATAACTTAAACATTATTAAAACGGATGTGAGGCAAAATCAAAAATTATACAAAAAACTATTTCAACATATCAAAATAAATTCATCTATAACAAAATTACTATTTTGAAAAAAAAACGCAAACGATTTATTAATGTATAAATTAAAATTATAAAACAATATAAAAGCCAAAGTTAATAGTTAATATAAAATATATATAAATGCATACAAAAGCAGCAAGGCACGGAGGTACACTCAGACATTTGGTTGGTCACCAGAAGGCAACTGAAAGTAACTAATTTGTTAATGTTAGTAACCTGCCAAACATTTTGAGTTGCCTGTTGCTATTTTTTATAAAACTTTCTAGCAAATCTAGCTTTTTTAATTTATCACACTAAGTGTAGACTAGAAACAGCTGGTTTACATAAAAGTATTGAGAACTACTAATAACAGTTTTTTCAATTAATTCAGCTCATAATTATTAAAAGAAAAAAAAACATTTCCATTGTGTTGTTTTTTTTCTTTTATAAATGGAAATGGTATTCAGCACCCTAATCACTATATGATTTCTTTTTAAATGGTTCAGTACAATAATTTAATGATTGTTAAACATTATGAAAACATAACATCTGAATAAGAGAATATCAAAACTGATGTTATGCAAAAACAAAATTTATGATAAAATCCATTTGAACATAACAAAAAATAATTTTTCCTTACAAAATCACTAGGTAGGATAAATCAATAAAAAAGGATCATCAACAAATAATTATAAACCACCAAGCAATATTAAAAACTGAGTTAATACATAAAATATATAAAAATGAATATATAAGTTACCAGGTAAAGATTCTTTATCAGCAGCTTCAGTATCTTCTTCGTGCTCCTTTTTTTCTACCCAAGTAGGTGCATCAGCACTGCCCTCATCATCACCATCTGATTCCTTTTTAACTGTTTTAATGCAAAAAATTAATGTTTCATATATATAATAATAGCATTATATATAACTTAAACATTATTAAAACGGATGTGAGGCAAAATCAAAAATTATGCAAAAAACTAATTCAACATACCAAAATAAAATCATGAATAACAAAATCACTATTTTGAAAAATCAAATGCGAACGATTTATTAATGTATAAATTAAAATTATAAAACAATATAAAATCTAAAGTTAATAGTTAATATAAAATACATATTAATGCATACAAAAGCAACAAGGCATGGGGGTACACTCAGACTTTTGGTTGATCACCAGAAGGCAACTGAAAGTAACCAGTTTGTCAATGTTAGTTACCTGCCAAACATTTTGAGTTGCCTGTTGTTTTTTTTTATAAAATTTTCTAGCAAATCTAGTTTTTTTAATTTATCACATTAAGTGTAGATTAGAAACAATTGGTTTACATAAAAGTATTATTGAGAACTACTAATAACAGTTTTTCAATTAATTCAGCTCATAATTATTAAAAGAAAAAAAAACATTTCCATTGTGTTGTTTTTTTTCTTTTATAAATGGAAATGGTATTCAGCACCCTAATCACTATATGATTTCTTTTTAAATGGTTCAATACAATAATTTAATGATTGTTATACATTATGAAAACATAACATCTGAATAAGAGAATATCAAAACTGATGTTATGCAAAAACAAAATTTATGATAAAACCCATTTGAACATAACAAAAAATAATTTTTCCTTACAAAATCACTAGGTAGGATAAATCAATAAAAAAGGATCATCAATAAATTATTATAAACCAGTAAACAATATTAAAAACTAAGTTAATACATAAAATATATAATAAAGAATATATAATTTACCAGGTAAAGATTCTTTATCAGTAGCTTCAGTATCTTCTTTGTGCTCCTTTTTTTCTACCCAAGTAGGTGCATCAGCACTGCCCTCATCATCACCATCTGATTCCTTTTTAACTGTTTTAATGCAAAAAATTAATGTTTCTTATATATAATAATAGCATTATATATAACTTAAACATTATTAAAACGGATGTGAGGCAAAATCAAAAATTATACAAAAAACTATTTCAACATATCAAAATAAATTCATCTATAACAAAATTACTATTTTGAAAAAAAAACGCAAACGATTTATTAATGTATAAATTAAAATTATAAAACAATATAAAAGCCAAAGTTAATAGTTAATATAAAATATATATAAATGCATACAAAAGCAGCAAGGCACGGAGGTACACTCAGACATTTGGTTGGTCACCAGAAGGCAACTGAAAGTAACTAATTTGTTAATGTTAGTAACCTGCCAAACATTTTGAGTTGCCTGTTGCTATTTTTTATAAAACTTTCTAGCAAATCTAGCTTTTTTAATTTATCACACTAAGTGTAGACTAGAAACAGCTGGTTTACATAAAAGTATTGAGAACTACTAATAACAGTTTTTTCAATTAATTCAGCTCATAATTATTAAAAGAAAAAAAAACATTTCCATTGTGTTGTTTTTTTTCTTTTATAAATGGAAATGGTATTCAGCACCCTAATCACTATATGATTTCTTTTTAAATGGTTCAGTACAATAATTTAATGATTGTTAAACATTATGAAAACATAACATCTGAATAAGAGAATATCAAAACTGATGTTATGCAAAAACAAAATTTATGATAAAATCCATTTGAACATAACAAAAAATAATTTTTCCTTACAAAATCACTAGGTAGGATAAATCAATAAAAAAGGATCATCAACAAATAATTATAAACCACCAAGCAATATTAAAAACTGAGTTAATACATAAAATATATAAAAATGAATATATAAGTTACCAGGTAAAGATTCTTTATCAGCAGCTTCAGTATCTTCTTCGTGCTCCTTTTTTTCTACCCAAGTAGGTGCATCGGCACTGCCCTCATCATCACCATCTGATTCCTTTTTAACTGTTTTAATGCAAAAAATTAATGTTTCTTATATATAATAATAGCATTATATATAACTTAAACATTATTAAAACGGATGTGAGGCAAAATCAAAAATTATGCAAAAAACTAATTCAACATACCAAAATAAAATCATGAATAACAAAATCACTATTTTGAAAAATCAAATGCGAACGATTTATTAATGTATAAATTAAAATTATAAAACAATATAAAATCTAAAGTTAATAGTTAATATAAAATATATATTAATGCATACAAAAGCAACAAGGCATGGGGGTACACTCAGACTTTTGGTTGATCACCAGAAGGCAACTGAAAGTAACCAGTTTGTCAATGTTAGTTACCTGCCAAACATTTTGAGTTGCCTGTTGCTATTTTTTATAAAATTTTCTAGCAAATCTAGTTTTTTTAATTTATCACATTAAGTGTAGATTAGAAACAATTGGTTTACATAAAAGTATTATTGAGAACTACTAATAACAGTTTTTCAATTAATTCAGCTCATAATTATTAAAAGAAAAAAAAACATTTCCATTGTGTTGTTTTTTTTCTTTTATAAATGGAAATGGTATTCAGCACCCTAATCACTATATGATTTCTTTTTAAATGGTTCAATACAATAAATTAATGATTGTTATACATTATGAAAACATAACATCTGAATAAGAGAATATCAAAACTGATGCTATGCAAAAACAAAATTTATGATAAAACCCATTTGAACATAACAAAAAATAATTTTTCCTTACAAAATCACTAGGTAGGATAAATCAATAAAAAAGGATCATCAATAAATTATTATAAACCAGTAAACAATATTAAAAACTAAGTTAATACATAAAATATATAATAAAGAATATATAATTTACCAGGTAAAGATTCTTTATCAGTAGCTTCAGTATCTTCTTTGTGCTCCTTTTTTTCTACCCAAGTAGGTGCATCAGCACTGCCCTCATCATCACCATCTGATTCCTTTTTAACTGTTTTAATGCAAAAAATTAATGTTTCTTATATATAATAATAGCATTATATATAATTTAAACATTATTAAAACGGATGTGAGGCAAAATCAAAAATTATACAAAAAACTATTTCAACATATCAAAATAAATTCATCAATAACAAAATTACTATTTTGAAAAAAAAACGCAAACGATTTATTAATGTATAAATTAAAATTATAAAACAATATAAAAGCCAAAGTTAATAGTTAATATAAAATATATATAAATGCATACAAAAGCAGCAAGGCACAGAGGTATACTCAGACATTTAGTTGGTCACCAGAAGGCAACTGAAAGTAATTAATTTGTTAATGTTAGTAACCTGCCAAACATTTTGAGTTGCCTGTTGCTATTTTTTATAAAACTTTCTAGCAAATCTAGCTTTTTTAATTTATCACACTAAGTGTAGACTAGAAACAGCTGGTTTACATAAAAGTATTGAGAACTACTAATAACAGTTTTTTCAATTAATTCAGCTCATAATTATTAAAAGAAAAAAAAACATTTCCATTGTGTTGTTTTTTTTCTTTTATAAATGGAAATGGTATTCAGCACCCTAATCACTATATGATTTCTTTTTAAATGGTTCAGTACAATAATTTAATGATTGTTAAACATTATGAAAACATAACATCTGAATAAGAGAATATCAAAACTGATGTTATGCAAAAACAAAATTTATGATAAAATCCATTTGAACATAACAAAAAATAATTTTTCCTTACAAAATCACTAGGTAGGATAAATCAATAAAAAAGGATCATCAACAAATAATTATAAACCACCAAGCAATATTAAAAACTGAGTTAATACATAAAATATATAAAAATGAATATATAAGTTACCAGGTAAAGATTCTTTATCAGCAGCTTCAGTATCTTCTTCGTGCTCCTTTTTTTCTACCCAAGTAGGTGCATCGGCACTGCCCTCATCATCACCATCTGATTCCTTTTTAACTGTTTTAATGCAAAAAATTAATGTTTCTTATATATAATAATAGCATTATATATAACTTAAACATTATTAAAACGGAAGTGAGGCAAAATCAAAAATTATGCAAAAAACTAATTCAACATACCAAAATAAAATCATGAATAACAAAATCACTATTTTGAAAAATCAAATGCGAACGATTTATTAATGTATAAATTAAAATTATAAAACAATATAAAATCTAAAGTTAATAGTTAATATAAAATACATATTAATGCATACAAAAGCAACAAGGCATGGGGGTACACTCAGACTTTTGGTTGATCACCAGAAGGCAACTGAAAGTAACCAGTTTGTCAATGTTAGTTACCTGCCAAACATTTTGAGTTGCCTGTTGCTATTTTTTATAAAATTTTCTAGCAAATCTAGCTTTTTTAATTTATCACACTAAGTGTAGACTAGAAACAGCTGGTTTACATAAAAGTATTGAGAACTACTAATAACAGTTTTTTCAATTAATTCAGCTCATAATTATTAAAAGAAAAAAAAACATTTCCATTGTGTTGTTTTTTTTCTTTTATAAATGGAAATGGTATTCAGCACCCTAATCACTATATGATTTCTTTTTAAATGGTTCAGTACAATAATTTAATGATTGTTAAACATTATGAAAACATAACATCTGAATAAGAGAATATCAAAACTGATGTTATGCAAAAACAAAATTTATGATAAAATCCATTTGAACATAACAAAAAATAATTTTTCCTTACAAAATCACTAGGTAGGATAAATCAATAAAAAAGGATCATCAACAAATAATTATAAACCACCAAGCAATATTAAAAACTGAGTTAATACATAAAATATATAAAAATGAATATATAAGTTACCAGGTAAAGATTCTTTATCAGCAGCTTCAGTATCTTCTTCGTGCTCCTTTTTTTCTACCCAAGTAGGTGCATCAGCACTGCCCTCATCATCACCATCTGATTCCTTTTTAACTGTTTTAATGCAAAAAATTAATGTTTCATATATATAATAATAGCATTATATATAACTTAAACATTATTAAAACGGATGTGAGGCAAAATCAAAAATTATGCAAAAAACTAATTCAACATACCAAAATAAAATCATGAATAACAAAATCACTATTTTGAAAAATCAAATGCGAACGATTTATTAATGTATAAATTAAAATTATAAAACAATATAAAATCTAAAGTTAATAGTTAATATAAAATACATATTAATGCATACAAAAGCAACAAGGCATGGGGGTACACTCAGACTTTTGGTTGATCACCAGAAGGCAACTGAAAGTAACCAGTTTGTCAATGTTAGTTACCTGCCAAACATTTTGAGTTGCCTGTTGTTTTTTTTTATAAAATTTTCTAGCAAATCTAGTTTTTTTAATTTATCACATTAAGTGTAGATTAGAAACAATTGGTTTACATAAAAGTATTATTGAGAACTACTAATAACAGTTTTTCAATTAATTCAGCTCATAATTATTAAAAGAAAAAAAAACATTTCCATTGTGTTGTTTTTTTTCTTTTATAAATGGAAATGGTATTCAGCACCCTAATCACTATATGATTTCTTTTTAAATGGTTCAATACAATAATTTAATGATTGTTATACATTATGAAAACATAACATCTGAATAACAGAATATCAAAACTGATGTTATGCAAAAACAAAATTTATGATAAAACCCATTTGAACATAACAAAAAATAATTTTTCCTTACAAAATCACTAGGTAGGATAAATCAATAAAAAAGGATCATCAATAAATTATTATAAACCAGTAAACAATATTAAAAACTAAGTTAATACATAAAATATATAATAAAGAATATATAATTTACCAGGTAAAGATTCTTTATCAGTAGCTTCAGTATCTTCTTTGTGCTCCTTTTTTTCTACCCAAGTAGGTGCATCAGCACTGCCCTCATCATCACCATCTGATTCCTTTTTAACTGTTTTAATGCAAAAAATTAATGTTTCTTATATATAATAATAGCATTATATATAACTTAAACATTATTAAAACGGATGTGAGGCAAAATCAAAAATTATACAAAAAACTATTTCAACATATCAAAATAAATTCATCAATAATAAAATTACTATTTTGAAAAAAAAACGCAAACGATTTATTAATGTATAAATTAAAATTATAAAACAATATAAAAGCCAAAGTTAATAGTTAATATAATATATATATAAATGCATACAAAAGCAGCAAGGCACGGAGGTACACTCAGACATTTGGTTGGTCACCAGAAGGCAACTGAAAGTAACTAATTTGTTAATGTTAGTAACCTGCCAAACATTTTGAGTTGCCTGTTGCTATTTTTTATAAAATTTTCTAGCAAATCTAGCTTTTTTAATTTATCACACTAAGTGTAGACTAGAAACAGCTGGTTTACATAAAAGTATTGAGAACTACTAATAACAGTTTTTTCAATTAATTGAGCTCCTAATTATTAAAAGAAAAAAAAACATTTCCATTGTGTTGTTTTTTTTCTTCTATAAATAGAAATGGTATTCAGCACCCCAATCACTATATGATTCCTTTTTAAATGGTTTAATGCAACAAGTTAATGATTGTTACATATTATGAAAACATAACATCTGAATAAGAGAATATTAAAACTGATGTTATGCAAAAACAAAATTAATGATAAAATCCATTTGAACATAACAAAAAATAATTTTTCCTTACAAAATCACTAGGTAGGATAAATCAATAAAAAAGGATCATCAACAAATAATTATAAACCACCAAGCAATATTAAAAACTGAGTTAATACATAAAATATATAAAAATGAATATATAAGTTACCAGGTAAAGATTCTTTATCAGCAGCTTCAGTATCTTCTTCGTGCTCCTTTTTTTCTACCCAAGTAGGTGCATCAGCACTGCCCTCATCATCACCATCTGATTCCTTTTTAACTGTTTTAATGCAAAAAATTAATGTTTCTTATATATAATAATAGCATTATATATAACTTAAACATTATTAAAACGGATGTGAGGCAAAATCAAAAATTATGCAAAAAACTAATTCAACATACCAAAATAAAATCATGAATAACAAAATCACTATTTTGAAAAATCAAATGCGAACGATTTATTAATGTATAAATTAAAATTATAAAACAATATAAAATCTAAAGTTAATAGTTAATATAAAATACATATTAATGCATACAAAAGCAACAAGGCATGGGGGTACACTCAGACTTTTGGTTGATCACCAGAAGGCAACTGAAAGTAACCAGTTTGTCAATGTTAGTTACCTGCCAAACATTTTGAGTTGCCTGTTGCTATTTTTTATAAAATTTTCTAGCAAATCTAGTTTTTGTAATTTATCACACTAAGTGTAGACTAGAAACAGTTGGTTTACATAAAAGTATTGAGAACTACTAATAACAGTTTTTTCAATTAATTGAGCTCATAATTAATAAAAGAAAAAAAAACATTTTTATTGTGTTGTTTTTTTTCTTTTATAAATGGAAATGGTTTTCAGCACCCTAATCACTATATGATTTCTTTTTAAAATGGTTCAATACAATAATTTAATGATTGTTATACATTATGAAAACATAACATCTGAATAAGAGAATATTAAAACTGATGTTATGCAAAAACAAAATTTATGATAAAACCCATTTGAACATAACAAAAAATAATTTTACCTTACAAAATCACTAGGTAGGATAAATCAATAAAAAAGGATCATCAATAAACTATTATAAACCAGTATACAATATTAAAAAATAAGTTAATACATAAAATATATAATAAAGAATATATAATTTACCAGGTAAAGATTCTTTATCAGTAGCTTCAGTATCTTCTTTGTGCTCCTTTTTTTCTACCCAAGTAGGTGCATCAGCACTGCCCTCATCATCACCATCTGATTCCTTTTTAACTGTTTTAATGAAAAAAATTAATGTTTCTTATATATAATAATAGCATTATATATAACTTAAACATTATTAAAATGGATGTGAGGCAAAATCAAAAATTATACAAAAAACTATTTCAACATATCAAAGTAAAATCATCAACAACAAAATCACTATTTTGAAAAAAAAAACGCAAACGATTTATTAATGTATAAATTAAAATTATAAAACAATATAAAAGTCAAAGTTAATAGTTAATATAAAATATATATAAATGCATACAAAAGCAGCAAGGCACGGAGGTACACTCAGACATTTGGTTGGTCACCAGAAGGCAACTGAAAGTAATCAGTTTGTTAATGTTAGTTACCTGCGAAACATTTTGAGTTGCCTGTTGCTATTTTTTATAAAATTTTCTAGCAAATCTAGTTTTTGTAATTTATCACACTAAGTGTAGACTAGAAACAGTTGGTTTACATAAAAGTATTGAGAACTACTAATAACAGTTTTTTCAATTAATTGAGCTCATAATTAATAAAAGAAAAAAAAACATTTTTATTGTGTTGTTTTTTTTCTTCTATAAATGGAAATGGTATTCAGCACCCCAATCACTATATGATTCCTTTTTAAATGGTTTAATTCAATAAGTTAATGATTATTACATATTATGAAAACATAACATCTAAATAAGAGAATATTAAAACTGATGTTATGCAAAAACAAAATTTATGATAAAACCCATTCGAACATAACAAAAAATAACTTTTCCTTACAAAATCACTAGGTAGGATAAATCAATAAAAAAGGATCATTAATAAATAATTATAAACCAGTAAACAATATTAAAAACTAAGTTAATACATAAAATATATAAAAATGAATATATAAAGTTACCAGGTAAAGATTCTTTATCAGTAGCTTCAGTATCTTCTTCGTGCTCCTTTTTTTCTACCCAAGTAGGTGCAGCATCACTGCCCTTTTCATCACCATTTGAATCCTTTTTAACTGTTTAAATGCAAAAAGTAAATTTTTTTTTTTTTATAAATCATAATTTCTAACTATAACAATATTAAAACTGACATGATGCAAAATAAAAATTTATGCCGAAATCTATTCCTAAATAACAAAATATAATCACCCTTTACAAAATCATAATTTTGAATAGATCAATGATAATGTTTTATGAATATATAATTATAAACCATAAAACAATATAAAAACAAAATTAATACATAAAATATTTAAAAAGGCATATATGAATTAGCAGGTATAGATTTTTCATCAGTACCTTCAGTATCTTTTTCGTTCTCCTTTTTATCTATCCATCCAGGTCCAGAATCCGCCTTGCCCATATCACTATCTGATTCTTTTTTAACTGTTGTAATGCAAAAGTAAATGTTTTTTATATATGATGAAAGCATAATATCTTATCAAAACATTATTATAATTGATGTGACGCAAAAACAGAATTTATGCCAAAATCTATTCCTACATATCAAAACATAATAACACATTACAATATCATAATTTTGAATAGATCAATCCTAATGGTTTATGAATATATAATTATAAAGTCGCCAGAAAAGCAACTTAAAGTTACTAGTTTGTTAATGTTAGCAACACGCCAATATTTTATGTTGCCTTTTGTTACTTTTTATGAAATTTTTGCAATCAGTGGCATTGTCGCCTACCTAGTCTTTTTATTTTATCGGACTAACTATAGACTAGAAATAATTGGCGCACATAAAAGTTAATTTTTGGGAACTTTTGATAACAGTTTTTTCACTTTAAGTGAGCTCTTATTTTCTAAAAAAAAAGTATTCTTCTAGATTAAGTATTAATAAATTTAAAAAAAGCAATTTACAATCACTTTTTAACTCTTTGCTTTTAGTGTGTTGTACTTGTTAACATCATATTTGTTACAGGAGCCTGAAAACTATTGCTATTTTAAAAGTATTTTAAAGTACCGCGTTGTAAATAAATTTAATTTTGAACCGTTTTAAAAATAATTTAAACTCGTATTTTAAAAGTTATAGATAGAATTTAAACTTTGAAAAAGATTAGAACTTCTTTTAATTTCTTTCCTAAAACAATCTTATGCTTAAAATTATCTTTTGTTTGTTTTTAGCAATTTATTTATTCTAATTTTATATATTTAATTTAAATATTTTATTTATTGCAATGAGATATTTTTTAATGTAATTATGTTCTTTAATGTATACCCGTAAAAAAACTTGACACGATTTTGATTAAAGAATAAATAAAAAATATTTAATACATTTGTGAAAAGAGATCTTTTGGACGATTTTAAAAATTTTGCTTCTTTTGAGACCCAAGATGATATGCTTTTTAAGAACTTTTTATTACAAAATATTAGGGACCTTTCTGATGTTTAGGGGTCTTGAGCAACCCCTAAAAATTTTTCTAATTCAGAAATTTTATAAATTTAGTATTAATTTATTACATAGAACACATTTAGGGGATATCAGCAGTCATTTTTTAAAAATGTTGTTTTTTGGAACACCTAATATATATATATATATATATATATATATATATATATATATATATATATATATATATATATATATATATATATATATATATATATATATATATATACATATATATATATATATATATATATATATATATATATATATATATATATATATTTGTGAAATTGCACATCTTCCTGTAAAAGCCTGCGTGCGTAAAACTCAAATTGGGAAATGCTTCTTAACAAGGCCTGATATATATATATATATATATATATATATATATATATATATATATATATATATATGACCATGCAAATAATATTTTGCTTTGGCGATTTGACCACAGTTTTAACATTTTAATATAGCACTGAAAACTTAACTTAGTTATAAAGAAGCTAAAAAAACAAACTTATTTTAAAAAAAGAATTAAAATCTTCTTAAAAAAACAATGAAAAATAAAATAAAAAAAGCTTAGTAATAAATAACTAAAACAAAAATATAATAATTAAAATAATTATGTTTGAAATAAATAATTTTGTTACCGCACCATATAAAGTTATAATAATATTAAAAAATAAATAAATAATACCAATTAACAAAAAAATGTAAATATACATTTTTGTCTTTAAATGTGGAAGAACAAGACGTGTGACCACACGTACTTTCTGGGAAGGCTTGAATATAGTTTTTTAATAAATAAATAAAAAAACATTTATTATTATTGTAATAATAAAATAACAACCATAAATAATTTAAATAAAATATGTTTATTGAAAACAATCATTACTAATAATTTTTTACTTGATTCAAAAGCATTTTGCATAATATAAATACATTAGAAAACATTTAAGTTGTTTATTCCAAATATAATTAAAAAAGGAGGTAAATGTAATTGAGAGTTTTAGTTTATTATGTTTGCTTTATTATTTTGTTTTTACTTTTGTTAAAATTTCTTTTTTTGTTTTTTTAGTTTAGTTTGCTGTTATTTTCATTTAAGTTTTTGCTTAGTTTTTCAGAACATTTATTACAATTTTTATTACAATAAAACAAAAAAATTTAATCCTAATAAAAATGTGCGGTCAAAGTGTAAAAATAAAATATTACATGCGTGGTCATATGATGGCAATCAATCACATACATACCTATAAAACACTGTGGGGTAGTTTTTAATTGCCAATATAAAATAATGGGTAATATAATAATATTACTATAATGGAATTAATAATGTTAGTTAAACTGGCACTATATGACATATTATCAAACTGGCACTATTTGATTTTTTATTTTAGGACTGTTGTTTATGAGTATGATGCATAGCGTTCTCTACTACAGGTCTATTCATCGCGCAACCAGATTTTTTTGTGGAGGCCTACTTTTTTACGGTAAAAAAATTTTTTCTCCACGTTCAGACCAGATACAATGTCATGTTGTTTATGATATATATTTTAAAAATGGAATATAATATAATGTTAATAAACTTATAATTTAAACATCGAGTTTCAGATTTAATTCAAAGCGAATAATATATTTATAAAATTTAGATTAAATCATCATGCCAAATAAATGTTGTGTGTATGCTTGTAACACCAACTATCAAAGTGAAAATATATATATATATATATATATATATATATATATATATATATATATATATATATATATATATATATATATATATATATATATATATATATATATATATATATATATATATATAGTGAAGTTAATAAAATATCAGTCTATTGGTTTCCAAGTAATAACGTTGAGCGTGAAAAATGGATAAAAGCTATTCCAAACTCTAATTTGGTTGTTACCAAGTATACTGTTATCTGTGAGTTACATTGGCCTCCAAATTTTGATACAGTTATAGTGCGTGGAAGAAAACGTCGGCCAAAAAATTCTCCTTCTGTTTGGCTGGGAATACCTTTATCTCAAATTCCAACTGTTAATC